AGCAGCTCGCCATTTGAGACCCTTGTCCCCCTCCCCCTCTTGAATCGGTTTTGAGGAGCTTATGCCCGGTAAGGCGGTCGTCCCGTCTCTTTTCCGCGCCTTCGAAGGACTTCTCGGCTAATTTCCTCACCGTAGCCAAAGTAAGTTCTCTCCTGCAAAAATACACCGAAAGGAAGTCAAAAAAGAATACACCGAGGAAGTCGAACAGTAACTATCGATAAGCGGCAAAGCTCTCGAGCTCACCGGACTCGGACCGGGCGGATGCCTTCGCTTGAGCAGCGAGCAGACCGGTCAGCAATCCAGTCTATGAAGTAGTGAACGGGGCTAGGGACGGGAGGGAAAAAATGGAAGGATGAGAGCCTTCGAAAGGAGGCGTTTTCTCCTTGGTCGAATCTAAATGCAGCGCTCTGACCGGAAAAGCAGGGCTCTAACGAAAGGCCGCCCGGAGTCGACTGAGTGGGTCCAGCAGCTTGCTAGTCGTTCGGCCATGGAGGATATAAGCCTCCCCGCCCGCATGAGTGCGCTTCGGGAGAATGCGCGGGCTAGCCAACGGGTCTTGCGAGCATTCATATCTGAGTCCCATTGGTCGGTCTCTGTCTATCGTCGGAGACGAGGTGAGCTCTCAGCATTGATCTAATTGAACTGAGCCGAGATCAAACCTCCATTGAAAAGACTGTCAGCTGAATACCGGGAAGGCCCCGACTATTCCTCTCCATGTGTTTGCTTTGCGTCGCCGTATCCGTTGAGCAATCGGCCGTGTGTGCGAACTCCTGAAGCATCCATGATGATATGTCAATTTGCCTCGGGAGAAATATTTGCGCTAATACGTTCTACTTTCTCTGCCTGGAGCATCGCCCCATCTCATGGCCAATCAATCATCATCGATCACAGCCTTAGAACGGTAGCGATCTGCTTCTTCTTCGAGCTACTGGTTCGCTTTTCTCGATTAGCTGGAAACGATCGTGCGATCCAAAACCTCATGGAGCGGCCTCGCTTGCTCACGAGTCGCTGTGGGCGGGCTCAGGTTGCTCGAAGTCATCTGCCTTACGTCCAGGAGGCTTCAACCTAGATTTTAGCGCTCTCTACTGATATCTGCTGATTGATGTCTGCGCAATCAGCTTCGATCTGGACTCGAAGTAGAGGCCGACATTCGCAAAAAAAATGATGAGGTGATGAGAACGAGAATAATGCTCAGGTCCATTTCAATTTCGTCTGAATCGTCGGGCTCCGTCCCCTGAGAGCCAGGAGAAACTTCTACCAGCTCTGGGAGCGGACTCGGCTTCGGAGTTTAGTTTGTTTCGCTAGGGCGGTGGTCCCTCTCTCTCGTCGCGTGAATGCCCTTCCCGGCGTGTGTCAATTTAATCAAAAAAGTTCGAGCTGTCGGCGTGGTATCGGAAGTTCGAAAAACTTCGGCCTAGCAACGTGACGTATCGGGCCGGACTAATGGTTGTTGTTTCGATAGAGTCAGCGCAGTCATTGTGATCAGACGGCTAATTGATTTCGAGCGGATCCAAGAAGCGGGTTGCTTCAATCTCGATTAGAGTACGCTTTATTTCTCATTTTCGCTGAACGGAGGGCCCTCCTGGGAATCGACAAAAGCCCCCCAAGATGGCATAGCTGTCGGGGCAGATGCCCCCGATTTCAAGACTCACTCAGCACGTCGGCGAGCGAAGTGGAAACCTCGTTGTCGTCGTCGTTTTCAGTAATAACACGAGCGTCTAAATGGACATGAGTCTCATATCTCACGAGTCCGTACGATACGTCATCCTCACGTGAGGCCCTGCATCGAAACGTGCCGCTTCCCAGACAGAGTATGTATGGAAGACACAATAAATTTTGCAGTAGTCTCGACGCGGATTGCCGGAGACATGATTGCTCTCGTTCATACGGTAGTATCAGTCCGGAGGCATTCGAGAAATTTGAGAAACTCGCCAGCTCTCACGTTCATCAAACTTCAAACGTCTCTGTATCTCGGGAAAACATAAGTTTCTAATGAAGCGCTAGCGCTGATATGAGAACTCCCATGGGAGAGGCTCGCGAGCCGAATCCAACCCCGCTATTCAGCCATGCGGAAAGGGGACCGAACGAGAGAATAGGAACAATCCCAGTTCCAAGGACCACAGAATCGGATTCAGTCGGCAGCCAGTTAATAGCTTTCAACACACTCTCACCGATAGCTGCATCAAACGATTCAGCGGAGGCCACCGGTCACGGAGCGGAAAATTCCTCCCTCTCCTCGCTGGCAGTCGCGGAAGAGCGACCCGGAGTTCTGGAGTCCCTCTGCCGAATGACGTAGACGTGCATGATCTGGCGGAATAAGAGAGGATTCCATCCTGGATTATTCTCCGCTCCGATTTTCTTCCAACACCACCGGGTCTGTCCTCTCGAGCAGGTGTCTCGGCATAGAGGGTGGTAGGTACTCCTGGGGAATTCCGACATGGAGTTCCAGAGATGTTCCTGCGCAGGTGCATTCACTGGAATGTTCTCGTCTGGGAGACGACCTAGCTCGCCGAAGGGGAGAACTTTTGATCCGGTCGAAGAAAAACGACCTTCCCAGCGTCGTCGTCCGAAGATCTCCTCTCACTGAGCCCCGTTCGGTCCCCTGCAGGTGGCGGTCTCGTTTTCAGTCGGCGCGCGGAAGTATTCGGAAGAGCTCCTAGCCGAGATCCTTGTGAATTATCTTTTATTAGGATTAAGAAGCTCTATACTTATAACCTGACATCCAAGAGAGCTTCAGGACCGTTACTCTCCGAACAGAGTGGAATAAGGAAAATTCTGGCACTCGAGGAGACCTTGTCCTAATTGTTGACGACAACTACCCCTCGATATTTAAAGCTCATGATAGCGTGTTTGAAGGCGAAATTACCGGTTCACCGCGAACTCCTAATTCACTCAAGTTCTCTCTGAGGATCGAAAAGAGTCGGGGAGCCGCATCTTCGCCTTCGTTGGCACATTGCGAAACAGATTGCGACTCATGCTCGTATTCAGCAAGGAGCGTAAAATAGCATCGACTCTCAAATGAGAGCCCTAGGAACTCGACCCGAACTGGGATTTCACTCGACTTCCCTAAAGTAACGCCATGAGCCATCGTCATCATCTTGCAAAACGACTGATCTCGGAAGCCCCCGAGATAAGTCCTCTCCCGCACCGGCAGCCTCGGCTGGAGGGAAAGCGACAAGGTCGTTTCTGTCAGAGAAAAGAGAGCTCCCAGAGGATTCCAAGGGCCCGATTGGCCACCAGGGTCAGCTGGCTAGCTCAGCGATTCGGCGCCAGCCGAGAACTTTAGGTGGGAACAGAACGGGCAGGCTGCTGCTGAAAAGCCACCGCTACAGCTTTTCGGATTCGTCGGACGAGCCGACTCATCTACTCATCGCCCGGTCCAAACGGGAAAGCGTCGTATCGGAACGGCTCATGGGACCTTGAAGGGCAAGAAATTATTCTCAGCCACGTAATGTGACCTGATGAAAGGATTCCATGGTATCGGGTCTCCGGAAAAAAATTCTCGAAATTGCCTGAGGAATACCCCGACAATATTCGCGACCCGAATTATATGGCTATCTTATTTGGCTGCGTGACCTTCGTTCCGATAGAATACGATCTCCCGATCTGCCTCCCTCCTCAGCCAGGAGCAACACACCTCACTCATCTTGAACGCGTGCATTGACACTCAGCGGGGCCTCGATTACGGAAGGCAAGGGATTCCCTTGATAAAAGGCCACCGAAGCGAAACCTTTTACGCCGTGAGAGCGGAGGTCCTTCGGCGGAGGCGGAGGGAAGGAAGGAAGCCAGCTAGCAAGAACTCACCACCTTTGTTCCGGAATCTCTGGCTTTCTTATTAGATTCGGGACAGAATCTCCGAGAGAACCCGCGATTGTCCGAGCTGGGGACCTTGGCTTTTGCTGGGCTCGTTAATCCCGCGACGTGATCTTCGATTAGGAGGGACCAAGGTCTTTGCCGCAGAATACACTCTTCGATGGATGAACAGGAATTTCCACCGCGTTTCGAGAACGACAAGCGAATTACGGGGGAAAGTCAGAAAGCCGAACGTACATGCATGGTCCGAAAATATTCCGTGCTGAGGAAAAAAGCGGACCCCCCGTTTGCGGCCGTAGCAGCTTCTGTGGACGTAGACGCTTCAATCAGCCTGCCCCACGTAAGAGGATTGCAATGGATTAGATTGTCAAGGTCTGTGCTCACAAATCACTCGATGTACAAAAAAAAGCTCCTCTGATTTCCACCTGTGAGGATTGTTGGAGACTTTGAAGGAAGCGAGGAGTTGCCACGGGAATTCTGCTTGGGAATCACCGTCAAAGTCCTCGATTCCATATCTGTATTCAAAGAAATCAAATTCTCTATTCGAAGCCCCAGAAAATAAGCGTGAGCCGCGGGGACGCTGCCCGAAAGTCAAACTGTTGTAAGCTTCAGAGACAGTGCAAAATTCACCCTTGAGCATTTTTTTTCAGTATTGAGACTGTAGCCCCGGAGATTCATCCCAATGATTAGCATGACCCACTGTCGAGAACTTTGCAACGCAGAATTCTACTGGCTGAGGCTACTACACCGCTCGGTCGAGGAGTCTTATCTATTGCCCTGGAGACGCTCTCCGAGCGAAGAAACTCGAGTAATCCCTAAACGACTCGCCGAAGCTGTGAAGCCTCTCCCAGAAGCCCCACAAAAGATGGATTCATCCTTTTCATGGTGTAAGCCGAGCGCGATGGGAATCTTTCGGGCAGGAAATCTTAATGAGCAGTCTGACTCAAACTTGAGAAATCTCATCATGTATTCAATCAAGAATACTCTTTCGGGAAAGTCTGGATCCGGTATTCGCGAGGAGAGATGTGCAGCGAATTCATCGGGTTTTTGCTGAAGCAGGAGGAGCTCTCATTTTCGGGTGTGACCTCCGAGAACTACACAGAACGAGAGTTCTTACCCGTGGACCTTGGCCATCCGACGGAGACTTCAGAAGTCGCCGGCTGGTGTTGCCTCCTCGGATCAGACGATTATCGCACGAGATCCACAGGGAATGAGAAGCAGGACGTCAGACCCCGATCGGCATAGATTCTGACTCGAACAATCGAGCTGCTGAAGGGCAAGTTGAGCACGCGCAGCGTGAAAGACCCCGTAACTATCTGCCCCTGAAAAAAAAACAGATCGAACAACGGAAATATTTTCTGATAAGCTCGCACGAGCGAGAGGAGCGAGGAGCCTCGCTGTGTTCAGAGGGCGAGGAAGCCTCGATTTTTCGAGAGGAGAAGAGATCCGGACCTTTCTCACGGGACATTTGATGATTTTTTCACAGAGGTTTGTCTCCACTCCCGGAATCGGAATATTGATCCCGAGAATCGAGGCTCGACTGTCCAGCGTAGCCGTATCCGTGTCCTGAAAGCCGATTCATTGTCTCACTCGCAGCGACTTTTTGAATATCTTTCGGTCCGTGCCTCGGAGAGTTCTATGATGATGTGGTTTGGTTTGACGATCATTGTTGTGTGAGGATAGTCTTGGATTCGGGAAAAACTCCGCTAATATGACATTCAAGAGGGAGACGAGCGATGCTGCACGTGCGCAAACTCAGACAACGCTTCGATAGCTTTCAGTTGAGTCCCTCTTACCTGGTCAGCAGAGAACACGAACGAAAACTTGACCCGCGAGCCTTTCTTGAGCTGGCACGGATTGGTCGTGCAGGGTTCCACTTTGATTAATTTGAGGACACCTTCTCCCGGACTATCTGCAAACAAAAATTTAATACTATCGGTGCTACGACTCGCCCGTGCGATACTCGGGACTCGGGAGCCCTCCTCAATATTCGATGAATTCATGCCCCCCACCGACTGTCGGCGTCGCCCTCCTTGGGCGGAATGCTCACTAACCGCAGGGGACGACCGCTATGGATTTTTGTCCCAATACCTGCAGTTGAAACATGAGGGCAAGCAGGACAGGAGCTTTACGTATCATGATCGATATTCGATGGAGCTGGAACTGATCAGAATGGATTCAAGATCAATATGAATTTAGGGAGGGAGCCTTTCAGCTTCAGTGGTCATCAAGGACTCGGTACTCACCGCATGAGGCGTCGTCCGGTGCCTGAGTTCATCGGGAAGTCACGCCAGCGATTGAAACCGACGCACTTTGTTGGCAGCCGCTGCGAAAAATAATCACGATGAGAATGTCACGGGAGCTCGAACGGCACAGCCCCCGCATATCTATGGGGGTTCGTTCCCATCGCGAAGAAAACATGCTCCCCTCTCAATGAGAGAGAAGCATCAAGCGACAATGTTCTTCCTGGATACATGTTTCAAACACGGCGACATTCTGATCCGGAGACGCCGACTGTAAAAATTCTTGCCGCTTCGCTGGAATCCGTGTTCTTATATTCGGTGTCTATGAATTCCTCATGCTCAACAGCCGGTTTGTGTTTTGGCTGTCAAAAAGCGAGATGAGGTTGCTTCGCGAGTTCCAATTCTAACGCTCCCAGAGCAACATTCCCCATCGACGAATCGCGGTACTTCGGAGATGCTCGGCATCCAAGCTCGTGTTTCGAGTTCTAGAGAACTTGCTCTCGAATTGCTCTTTTATATCTCAATATTATTATTATTATATCATTATAATTAGGTGTTGTCATTGTAATTATTAATTCCAGCTCCTACGAGGATCGATTCTCGCAGATGCATTGAATCGAAGTGACGGATGGATTCTCGGTGAGCCCTAGGTGGGTTTCGCAGCGCCCCGGAGCCCAGAGCTTTGGACGTGGCGGGGAGTGTCAGGCTCACCGCTTCGACTTTTGACAGAGCTCGGATTAATTCAGATTTTCCACGGACAGCAGCATCCATTCCGTCGCAACCCGCTGTCAGTTCCTGAGAGGAGAGGAGTTACAACAACTCGATCCCAGAACTTTTCGACTGTTCCCATTGAATATCTTCCGCGAACAAGCCCACGTAACCAAACGCAGACATCGTATCACGTGCTCGGCTCACCGACACAACTCTCTTCCTCGTCTGCTTTTGTCACTTGATGTTCGGAGCTCCGGGCTGCCGGCAGCCGTCGACTATACTTTGCCCCAAGCGAGGCTTCTCCCGATCAGCGAATTGCTCGTAGGAATTTACACCCTGAAATAAATGATCGGAACACGAGTGCTCCAGCCTTTTTCCGTCACTGAACCCGTTTGTCTTGGAGCTCGTCTCGAGCTCAAGTACCGATGAGTGTTGAATTAATCGAGCGACTCCCAACGCCACGACTACGACTCTTCGAGCTACGCGCGAGACCGATAGTCTGAAGGGCCTTCTGACGAGTCGATTCATCGAGTCCTCTGCCTTATATTGCGCCCTGTTCCCTCAGCGAAACACCTGCGGGAAAGGTGAACGGTAGAAGTTTCGGTCGGGAGCCGCTGGAGATCATCATTTTCTCCTGTATAGTGTACACGCTGTTGATGTCACCGGCAGACAGTCGAGTAATTTGAGCCGTGTGCTCTTAATACGATACACACCTGCACTATCACATTGACGGTTTACCGATCAGTTTTTTTGGTGGAGCAGCTCCATATCTCCGTTGCTTCTATCTTGTCTCCGGCGGATTTCTGGTTCGGAGCCATAACCGATCTTTCGCGCTTTCTCCTTCAAACGCGGTTCAGGGCTGTGGACCCGGGGAGATTGAAGCCTGACGAGTGATTCCTCAAAAGGCGCCTCGACGGTAGAAGCGCCAAACTCACGCGATGCTCGAGTATATCGGCCGGTATGATCAAGGCTATTGAGAGACTTTCGCGTCGCGAGCGAGCTTCTCCGCGAACTTTTCCCCAATTCTGCGAGCTGTCGAGATACATAGACCGTCGCGAGAAAACATCGAGAAAGCGTCTCGTTGTCTCTCGCGAGCTCGTGTCGTCTCCGCGGCCGCATACCGGGAAGTCTCGAAGACCGTTGGAGAGGTAGGCTACCGGGTCGTCAAGTAGGCAAGGAGCGAGCGAACGGGCTAGCTTGAGCAGCCATCCATTGCCGTCTTATCAGACAGACATGCGGGAACGCGTGGATCGGTGCACCGGAACAGCGAGCGTTTCACACTATTTGGCTATCTCTGTGGGACACTCTGGAAGCGTCGGGGCACAGCTCGGCACGACCATGGGGTTCGAGCGCTCTGCACTAAGAGTTGTGAACTCGACCGCCGCACTCCTGTCGACCCACCGACGGAAACACTTCCCACTGAGCGTCTCGCGAGACAAGGATGCGTTAAATTGGAACTCTCCCGTGAACTTTGCCCGCCATGAATTTTAATGTGTTTCCACAGTCGAAGTCTCCCGTTCCGGGAAATAGCAGACCCCGGTAGTCCGATCATTTGCATAGACCAGTAGTGTATCCAGGGGGAGGGAGGGGGAGAGCGGTGGGTATGCGAAAATAAGGCATTCGGGAGGAGCGTCATCAATTTTGACGCCCTACACCCCGAAAGCCAAGTCTATCCCCTTCCCCGAGAGAAGGCTCCGCTAGCTTTTGGCACGCAGTAATTTCATTGTACCACCTTTCACATTATACTCGTGCTTGTCAAGACCTCAAGTTGCGGAGCTACCTCGATTCTGTCTGACATCTGGCGCTCGAAAATCAGCCCTCGAGACCCCTAGTACCTGAGAAACGGTGAGACTCTTCCACTCAGCAACCGTCGGAATCTCACCGAAAGGAGGCGACTCGATCGCATCTGCCCTAATTCGCTAAACATGCCTTGGAATAATTTCTTCCCGACCTGCCGAAATTCGTCTCTGCCGATTATTTTTCCTCCTACCACATTCATCTCTGAGGCTGCCGCGACTGGTTATGATTATACGTCCCAGGCATTTGGTAATACCGAAATCAGCGAACGTCTGATGGCCATATGTCGGGGAAGTCGGATATCTTGGGACCTGTATCTCTTGAGAATTCCGAATGAGCTGTTCTACGGCCCCCTTCGGAACAGCTGCTCCTTACTCAACGATTTGACAGATCCATGTATCTGCGGAGCTCGGTCGAAACGGGTCGATCTCCCAGACCCGACCCCGTAGTCTTTAGGCTTCATCAGTGAGTCGGTCCCTCTTTCGAAAAACTCCTGGAATCGCATCCACACAATTAGCTGTTGAGAGAACTCCACGAGGATTCTTCACTCCAGTCCGTTCTGGATCTCGCTTCTGCTCCGATGAATGATAGACCGTTCTTTGACTCGAAGAGCTGAGCGGATATGCGGATCTCATGGTGAAATTCGAACACAGAAAAGTTTTGCTCCCTTCACCTCTGCAGTACCTACCCAATAGAGCACTAAGGTTGACGAGAAAAAAAACTGTGCGCGATGCGCGACAGTTTCGAGGTCCGGAGAGAAGGGGAACGTATGTGACAGTCCGAGACGGAGTCTCTCGCTCGGGAACCAGACTCTCTTTGCGTATCTGCCGGCGAAGGTTCGCTTCACTTTTCTTCAAGGAGATATTTGCTGGTGGCGACGACTGCCTATATTGGCTAGCTCTCCGCTGTGGACATAGAGAGCAAATTGCACTTTGACCGAGAGCAGGACCTGGTTTCTACAGGCTGCAACAGCAGCTCCTCCTCGTCCTTCAACACTGACATCGTACTCGGTGTCCTTCTTAAGGCTGTCAGGAAAGCGTGATCTCATGGTCTTGCAGTCGAAGACTCTCACGGCTAAAGCAGACAGGTGCTTATTAGGCCTGATTAGATTGTGGGAGAAATATGATGGTGAAAGTCATGAGCTAGATCCGACCGGGAGATTTCTGAGGATGATTGAGGGACATGGACCGGTGATGCTCTTTTCTCTCGAAGGGTATCCTCGAGTCGACATTTATCCTGATGAAGGATATAGAGGCGATTCCGACCACACGGCAGCTTCAGTTCTTTCCTTGTTCCTGATGTACAGAGAAATCAGGAAGCGTTTGTCGCCGCCCGGCGCGAGGTGTCCCCCATGATTTCGAGCTCCGAACAGGTGGTTGTCTATCGGAGAGAAAATTGAGGCAATAAAAAATGGCGTCTCTTTGGGATTCCCGAAGCCTTCACATGAGACTCCTCCGTAGAAATCGCGTTTTTCATTGCGGAAAATATTGTGATTTCTTGTTCCGATTTCGCGGACACCCGCTCTGTACGAGTAAGGAATCGAATTTCCTCGTTTTAGTTCTTCAGCACGGCGCAGTGTCCGAACTTCGACTCCGAGGCTCGGGGAGTCCGGTCCTGAGCATAACAGAAGATCGTTCGAGACGAGGAGACGATTGGACACGGAGCCGAGCGAGCTAAGCCGACTTTTATTTGCCTTAACCTCAGCTCTCCGTTTGCCTCGGGCTGTAATAAAGGTGCTTATCCGCCGCCGCTTTCTTTTGATTATTATCATCTCAATCATCATCATTATTCTGATTCTCCGAGCCTTTCACAACTTTATGACACAGAGCGAGGCGGCATCCAAGTCGAGGAGATTATCCTCCTTGAATCGCAGCTCCGGATCTGGAGCGATAACAGCCCCACAGGGTCTCGACACCACGCGCTCAATCCTATTGGGAATCTGAAAAAAGCCTCGTTCTGCAGATCGGCTCTGATAGGGGACAAAATACGAAATATAACCCTCCAATCCGAGAGAGCCTCCTTCCGGATAAGAGCCGCAGATCTACCGGAAGCTTCCCGGAGCGAAACTCGAGCATCTGACGATAGGAACGTCCTTTTGACCTCGGGGTCGAAACAGCAGCCAGCATCGCTGTCTGCGGCGAGACGCGCTCAATGTTATTTTGCTCATATCTTCGGTCTTCCTGCGGCGTAATATCTGGCTTCTTGTAGTGGGGCCCCGTTGCCATAAATGCTTCTCATTAGTTCGTCGGATGCTTCGAGCTGGAATCGATCGACTATCCGTCTGCATGATGATCGACTGCGAGTGTGTCGCTTATTGAATGTGCGCTCTTATGCCCGCCGACAGCCCACTGCCCGTAATCCGTTGTTCGTACACTACTTATTATAAGCGTGTTGTGTGAGCGTGTCGTCTTCCCCGGCTGGGAGAGACTGTTAATATCAAGACCAACTGACGGAGTCCGGACATGTACTCACAGGCGAGGAAATTGATTGTGGAGTCTCTCGCTGTCACCCGCAAGCGGGCTCTGCGCCACCCCCGACGATCACCATCATCCAGCTTCCCTCCCTTGACAGAAGCTTTTTAACTCGAGGAGCTCTCGCTCCGGAGTTTTTCGGCACTGATGACATGGGCATGAGCTCGAGAATTTCGGCACTCGTCTTAGGATTCGAGCAGAACCCTCGAAATATGGCATCGGAGTACTGACACCTGTTCCTTGTGACGATCCGAGCCGCACACAGGAATAATCAGCCTGCCGCTGCGTTTTAACTCCATACTTTCCTTCATTCACCGAGGCATCATTTCGGTGAATCGGGAGACCGCGGAGGCGATCGAGACAGATGGGCCGCTTCGGTGTACGAGGTGGGTTCTCTCTTGCAGTTCAGCGGGGAGCCAGCGATCTCATCCAGCTCAAGCTCCCATCTCGAGCGCTCACTGTCCGTCTGCTCTCTGGATTCGGAAGTGCTCGGATCACGCGTAAAGAAGGATCGTCTTGCGTTCCTGCCAAGAAGGAGGTGCCAGCCTCGTCCTTCACGCGCATTCAGGGTATTGGGGGCCGGACCGACCCAGTAATGTGTCGTCTGCCGGTCCATATATGTCGAGTTTCGACAATGATTCTCGAACCACGCTCGTTCTGTTCCTCTTTATCTCGATAGCCCCGGTGACTCGCGGACGGCTGTGTGGCGCGGTCGGGATTCTTACGAAGGCGAAAGCGATCCTGGAGGAGCAGCGGCAGCAGCAGCAATAAGACCCGACCGAAAATGTTCCCCATTTTTGGTGACAAATGATGGCCTCAGCTCGGCAGTTCGCTCACCGCCTATTAACCTCCCCCCGCCGGTTCATATCTCGGGAGCGATAGGCGGGAAGCCCCTCCCAGGGAGGAAAGGGCAATCATCATCATCGTCGTCGTCGTCGTCATATGGTTCTATCGGTATGGTGAACAGATCATTCCCTGACCCCGTCGCAGTTGTCTCATTCGGATTGGAATTCCTGCCGTTCCCCACCGAACTCTTCTCCCTGCTTCTGGTCCGAAAATCGAAGCTTAACCAAAGAAGATCCCGGAATCTGTAACTTTTGCTCGCACTGTGCTCGGTAATGCTCCATCATCAATCATGAGAGGGACGTCGAGTCAGCTAGGCGTACAGGCAGTGCACAGATGGAAAAACTTCTCCAGGGAGACGAAAAAGCCGCTGGATTATCTGAGTTCCTTCCTCGGGTCAGGTCTGAACGCTCTCATCTCCCGCCTGGCTCAGGCCTCCCCGGACCAGCCCGGATTCTGTTCCTCCTCCAGGATAGACTCTGATGCTGAACGTGTCACCTGAAACATTTTCAGCTCGCGATCCGTCGCCACGAGCTCTTGGGTGTGGTCCACGTGCTAAGGCCGCGTTCTTCGGTTTGCGACACCAAATCAACCAACTGGGCGTCTGCCCGAGGACGACCGTCGAGTCGAGCATCAGATACTTCGAAATTTCCCAGACGGAGGAAGCCTTTGAAAGCAACTTCCTGAGGCGGACAGCGACCGGGTCGGGATCTGCAATCGCCGTCGGGAACTTTGCAGCAGACTTGGGTTGGAAGCACGATCATGCTGGTATTTCCACCGGGGATTCCCCCATTTGGCTGACTAGGGCAGGTTCTAACCTCTGAATTCTCTAGTTTTCCATTTCCCCTCTTTAATGGCTTGCGAGTCTCTACCAAGTCCGAGACCGGAGTATTCTGTAGTTTCCTGAAGAGTGATCCCAAAAAGCACGCAATCGTCTCCCCTCTGATTTCGGAAGACGAACGGTCAAAAGCATCAATCAGACGCACGCATCCGCTACCCTCTGAACAAACGAAGGTAGCGCATCGAGAACTTGTCTGCGCACTGCGGCGGAGGCTCTCGGCTGCGGAGACTGCGTTCGTCCATAGTTGATTCATCTCTCCGGCTGCCGAACCCTAGGAAGGTCGGGGACGGAAAGAAAAAACGTATTTCTCGTTGCCGAAGTCAGTGGCGAGCTCCGCCCGGATAAGAAAGACAGAAGAGCGAGAACCATGACAGCCATGCTCGATTTCCTCATTTTTCTCTTTGAGGCCGGCCGTGTTAGTGACCTTGAAGGTTCACGCATAACCCAGCATGCTCCGAAACGGTCTTTCGAGCCTACCATCCTTCGATGGCATCGTCTCGAGTTCCACAAATATTATCCGCGAGAGAAAGCTGTTTATGTCCAATGAATGCTGCAATCG